TGTGGGGATTTGGGGATTTGGGGATTTGGGGATTTGGGAATTTAGGGATTTGGGGATTTGGGGATTTGGGGATTTGGGGATGTGAGAATTTGGGGATTTGGGGATATAGGGATGTGAGAATTTGGGGACGTGAGAATTTGGGGACGTGAGGATTTGGGGACGTAAGGATTTGGGGACGTGAGTATTTGGGGACGTGAAGATTTGGGGACGTGAGAATTTGGGGACGTGAGGATTTGGGGACGTAAGGATTTGGGGACGTGAGTATTTGGGGACGTGAGTATTTGGGAACGTGAGGATTTGGGGACGTGAGGATTTGGGGACGTGAGGATTTGGAGATGTGAGGATATAGGGATGTGAGGATTTGGAAATGTGAGGATTTGGGGACGTGAGAATTTGGGGACGTGAGGATTTGGGGACGTGAGGATTTGGGGACGTGAGGATTTGGGGACGTGAGGATTTGGGGACGTGAGGATTTGGGGACGTGAGGATTTGGGGACGTGAGGATTTGGGGATGTGAGGATTTGGGGATGTGAGGATTTGGGGATGTAAGGATTTAGGAATGTGAGGATTTGGGTTCGTGAGGATTTGGGAATGTGAGGATGTAGTGTTGTGAGGATTTGAGGATATGGGAATTGGAAGTCATAGAAATTTGATAACATGGAAATTTGTTCACATAGCAATTAAGATACATAGACCTTGAATATTTAGGATTTCAAGTATACAGAAATTTGCAAGTATAAGAATTCCAAGACACAAGACTCTGTAGTATAAACATTTATGATACAAAAATATAATGCCTCAAAACCTAACTAACAGACAAAATGTTCATAAACAATAAAATCCAACTATATCAAAATTCAAAATTATCCAAATTCCTCATACTATATCCTCCTCCTACATAAGAAATAATATAAAGTATCCCATATCCAACCCTCTACCACCCCAACTCTAAAATCAACCTAACCCACCAAACCTAACTCAAAAGACTCCCTACCCCACTACGCCAATGCTATCGTTAAAATCTAACGGTAAGGTCTGCCAAAACCGCGCGTCGAAGTATTCCGTGTCTCTAATATACACAGAAGAACGCTTTCTTCGGGGGCAACAGATATATGTATAAACCCAATTCGTTTGGTACGTCTATTCTTGCGTTCATAAGGTTATTTACACTCGGTGTCTGACACCATTTTGGTAGCAGGGCACAGAGTAGCCTCGCCAAATGGAGCTACTTGTTCTCGCGTGGAACGCGCGAAGGAAGAATAATAACGGCTCGACAACAGTATCGTTTGTACGCGGTTCACCTTGACCGAAAGCTAATCAACGTGTCACCATCGTACTGAACGCGCGTGTACTTCAAATCGCTCGGTTTCGATTCGTCCAGAAAGAGGAGGAAAAAAATCCGCTGAGGAAAGAAGCGAGACGAGACTGCGTTCGCTTTCATCGGGCTGACGCATGATCGATGCAATTTTATTTTCATTAATTTATTTATCGCTAACAGGTGGCATGCTGACCTCGTTATCAAGTATACAAGAATGGTTTAAAAATAATTAGTTTTTTATTAACCTGGGTATTGATTATCGGTGGTCCATGTTTAGGTCTAGCTGTCAGTTTATAGGCTCTGTAATTACGTTTTTGTTGTCTCTGGTAGGTTTGGTGGTTTGAAGGAGGTTTTAGGTGAAGATTTTGTGATGGGGAGTTTTATGGAGATGCGAGATAACGTTTGGGGAAATAGGATTTTGTTAAACAGATGATATAAAGTTTGGTTAGTTAGGATTTTGTCAGACAGATGATATAAAGTTTGGTTAGTTAGGATTTTGTCAAACAGATGATATAAAGTTTGCTCAATTAGGATTTTGTCAGACAGATAATATAAAGTTTGCTCAATTAGGATTTTGTCAAACAGATGATATAAAGTTTGGTCAGTTAGGATTTTGTTAAACAGATGATATAAAGTTTGCTCAATTAGGATTTTGTCAAACAGATGATATAAAGTTTGCTCAATTAGGATTTAGCCAAACAGACATTTGATGATTTGAAGTTTGGTGGACTAGTAATGTGGTCATTTATGAATTTGATGGTCTGAGACTGGATCACCTAGGATTTAGACAAACAGACATTACATGACCTGAAGTTTGGTGGACCAGTAATGTGGTCATTTATGAATTTGATGGTCTGAGACTTGGTTAACTAGGATTTAGACAAGCAGACATTACATGACCTGAAGTTTGATGAACTAGTAATGTGATCATTTATGAACTTAATGGTCTGAGACTTGGTTAACTAGGATTTAGACAAGCAGACATTACATGACCTGAAGTTTGGTGAACCAATAATGTGGTCATTTATGAACTTAATGGTCTGAGACTTGGTTAACTAGGATTTAGACAAACAGACACTACATGACCTGAAGTTTGATGAACTAGTAATGTGATCATTTATGAATTTGATGGTCTGAGACTTGGTCAACTAGGATTTAGACAACAGACACTTTATAGCCTAACATTTGCTGAACTAGGTATGTGTTTAAACAAAAATTTGCTAATCTAAGAATCTGATGATCTGAATCTTAGTGAGCCAGTAATTTGTTTAGGAAGGTATCTAACGATTTAGGGACTTAGCTACCCTAGATTAGCTAATATTTGATGAACTAGATATAATCTAACTTGGTGATCACCTGATAGTCTATCATTAGAGTCCTCAAGTATTAACCCCAGAGATCTACAAATAAGATCTAATGACTTGATGTAAGCACTGATACTCCACCATTTGAATCCTCGAAGCTTTAGAGATTTAGAGTCCCTGAATTTGTGAATGTATCAATGTTCAGTGTCCAAAGACTTTGCTCCGAAGCTGAGCCAGCTGACCCGTCAGACGGTCATTTTATTATCTGCAATATACGTGTTCGTTCACCGCGAAAACGCACGCGACGAAGATAACGGTAAAACGGATTCGTTGCACGTTTCTCGAGTTTCGAAAACCGCGAAACAGCGGCTATTGCCGCGCGATATCACGTTGCAGCGAAAGAAACACAGTTAAACCCGTACTACGTAACGCATAATGCGGTGAATAAGTCGAACGATAAGATACGTTGGTCCGCTGTTTTTCCGACTTAATGCGTATCGTCGAATTTTCGGACACCGTGAGTTTGTTGTAACAGATTCCACGTAGATCGTTTATCGGATAGCTTACCGATCTCGCTGGATTAGTCGGCCAACGACGACACGCGTGACGCATCCATCTCCCCGTTGAAATTATGCTAAACTTTCACCGTGAACTTGCGAACGATAACGATGACTAGTAATTAAGCTAACTAGCTGGGAAACGATACCGACCGCTCGAAAGACCGCAAAGAACTGAGTAGTGGCTGCGGCCCCACCACGCGGTACACCGTCGTCGAGGATGCCAACAAATGTAAACATCGCTACAGCTGATCGTCGTGACATATATACGTATATGTTCGTACAGGGTGTCTCTAAAACAGTGCTAAGAAATCTAGCAACTTTATTCATAAAATGTGGAGAAAGAACTCATCACTATGATACTCTATCTATTATTATTACTATAGCCATTTCAAGTCTTAGAGATCCTAAGGAACCTGGGATGTGAGGTGACTTAAGTGACCTACATAACTTATGAACTCTAGGAAACCTAGGAAGCTGGGTAACTTATGGAGACACAAGTTGCCATATGTTGGACTCTAGATACTTAGGTGGAAGTTAGAGACTTATGCTAAGGATCTAATAATAGGATAAAAATCTAAGGATCTGGGGATGTAAGAACATAGGAACATGTGGTCTAAGTACATATCAGAGCCTAGGATCAACTGAGCAGCTAGGAAGCTATAATAACGTCTGAGGACCTAGGGACATATGAAGACTTAGGAAGGTGTGAAAATCTAGGACCTAGAAACTGAGGAAGCTAGGAGTTTATGCTTAGAAACTTGTAGACTTAAGGACTATGGACCCAGAGTCTTTAGAACCTAAGAATTTACATTCAGAAACTTGTAGATCTAGGGACTATGGACCTAAAGACTTCAGAACCTAGGGATACCTATAAACTTAAGGTCCTATAGTCCTCAGTATCTAAAGTTCTTAGAAACCTATAGATATAAGGATCTAGAGTCCTCAGAACCTAGGAGTCTGTGCTCAGAAACTTGTAGACTTAAGGACTATGGACTCAGAGTCTTCAGAACCTAAGAGTCTACATTCAGAAACTTGTAGACCTAGGGACTATGGACCTAGAGTCTTCAGAACCTAGGGATACCTATAAACTTAAGGTCCTATAGTCCTCAGTATCTAAAGTTCTTAGAAACCTATAGATATAAGGATCTAGAGTCCTCAGAACCTAGGAGTCTGCGCTCAGAAACTTGTAGACCTAGGGACTATGCACCTAGAGTCTATAGAACCTAGAGATACCTATAAACTTAAGGATCTAGAGCCCTCAGTACCTAAAGTTCTTAGAAATCTATAGACGTAAGACCTAGAGTCCTCAGAACCTAGGGATCCCAAAAATCTATAGACGTAAGGACCTAGAGTCCTCTGAACCTAGGGATCCTAGAAGCCTATAGACCTGAGGCCCTAGAGTCCATATCCTAGAAATTCTAGAAACCTAAGAACCTAGCATAACTTCCCCTAGGAAGTTAAGGACTAACTCTCAGAGTCTAGGACCTTACGCTTTCAAATTATAGCAGTTATTACCTAATGCTTGCTGCAACTTCTATTTGACAATTGTTTCCCCAACTCAGTCAATGTGGTTATATTTGCTGATCCACCCTGTATACACAGTTGTACGTGTAGCATGTTGTACATGAGCATGTGTGCGTTAGCATGCGTGTATTCAGTGGTCTGCCGCCCTCGTCTCGTCTAATCCTGTCTGCACGTGCGTATCGTGGTGCCGCGACGCTACAATATAGGTAAAGTAAAATTACACAGGTTTCCACTTTGAAGCTTGGAACGTCTAGTTGAGAACGGACTATTCAAACTTATTTGTGATACAGAAATACCTGCTGAGAGTTTAACGGGTGTGCTATAAATCGTGCCGTAACTAGAACGACGGTAAAAGCGAACCGAGCTGCCCTTAGCACCGAGCGAACGGGGCACTTTCCCTGGGCACTGCACTCAGGGACTGGTATTAATAGCATAAATAATTTTTGGAAAATACTTTTCAAACATTTTGTCTGAATCATTGGTGCACATTGTTTTTTATTAACGCGTTTATACATGTAGAAGAAAATTAAAGCACAAAAAGTATGTAAATAAAAATAATTTTATTCAAAGAAAACAAAAAAAGTAGACTTATACTATATCTAAATGTATAATCAGGTATTTAATGTACATAGAACTATATTTAATATAATAATAAAAAAATATCATGTATTAATACTATCTTAATGAGGTAATTAATCTGTTTGGTTTTTATGTACATATTTCACAAATTTTTTTATTTATCCCCATTGTGCAATGTTATTTAAACAATTGATCTTTTTATAAATTATAATCAGTATTGTGCTTGGAAATTGAAATACTTCCAAAGTAAGTACAAATTAATTAAATAATGTAATGTATTAAATTTCAGAAAATTCTGAAACTTCATTAATATCATGTTTTTAACATATTAAAATTTTATGTAATAAACAGTCTAAAAAATAAGGTGTAATAATAGTATTGAATTCATAAATCCTGTCATGATTGAAAAAATACTTTGTAATAAGTACTGAAACAACAATCCAATTATCACTGAAGTTACCAGTGGAGATTACTTTCCATATACATTCATTCTTTACTCTTCTAGAGCTTTGTACTTCTAGAATAGTGTAATCAAAATTCAATATATTTAGAGAAGTTGAAAATCTTACAACCCTTACTAAGAAATTCTTTTTACAGACCTATGTAAATATAAATATTTGATTATATTAAATCAAATAAATAAATCACGTTTAAAAAATTCTTCTCTTCTCCTCTACACTGTATATTATAATTATCTATCAATAGCCAAACAAACTTTTAAAGAAAGCAATACATATCAAATTAAATTCTAACAAAAATATATTTTGGTTTAAAGCAAGCCCAGCAGCGCCATAACTTCGCTATTCACCATCTAACGATCATGATAGAAAAACTCTTGAACCTCAGGTACCACAATAAAAATTCATCATATGAATAAAATTAACAATGTCATTTTTTAATGACACTGTTTAACAATTCATACTTTCTTGAAGTGGTTCAATACCCATAGTCCATATCACTGGTGAATCTGTATTTACAGTTACTTCGGAGCAATCATATGTATTTGAAGAGCTTATTATGCCACCGAATTGTAGAGTTGAACAATCTGAAAGATAGAACACTGTTTAGTAACAATATACTAATTAAAACACTTACTGACTATACTTACTTAAGTTCCACTTTAAACCAGTTGTAGTTATACTATTGACGGGTGCACCAACTGGTAATAAACCACACCAGCTATTATTTTGTACTAAAATCTTAGGTATAATTATACTATGAAAACCTGGATTTAAAATCCATGTCAGTGAGTTGCATGCAATTTGAATTACCTGAAATACAGAAATGAAATTTATAATACAGAGTTAATTAAATTCAAAACACTATAAGAAATAAAAATTACCGGTACTATCGGAATGTATTGTCCAAGGAGCTTCTCAGTTTTATATAAAGTATTAATATTTTCAATGATATGATCTAACCTTCCTGATGAGTCTACAAATACGTATATTCCATTTAACTGTTGAAAATAATAATGTTATTATCAAATGCAATTCATATGAAAAAAATTAATAAAGTATCTGATGTTACCTTTATGTTTTCTGTTTTAGCATATTGTCCTAATTGAAGCAAGGCTTTTGTATAATCTGTTTTATCCTGATCAATTGTGTGAATAACCCTAGAACCCATGGCCTCCAATTTCTCGAGAATTAAAGGAGAACAACTGTCCATATCGCCAGTAATTAAATGTGGTACGTATGTTTTGTGGTTCCCACTAAAAAGATCTATACCTTGCTTTTGTAAATAATGCAGCCATGAATGCGTTCCACCATCGACAGTAATATTAACTTCAGCTAAAGATATTCAAGAAACATGATTAGGTACTTGTACGCAGTAAGTTTTATGAGCTTAAAGAACATACCATTTTCCCATATTCGAAGGATAGTGTCATGTTTCCAGTACAGTGGACGATTCAGTATAATCACAGCGTATTTGTAATGTTTAGGACATTGAAATATTTGCATTGGATCCCATACTGTTTTATTGCAATCTGAATCATGTTGCATCATGTGGCGGTATTGAAATTTACTTAAAACTATAAAGAAACGTTTAAGTCGTTAGGTTATGTAGCACGATTACAAAATTCCTCGTTTAAACAATTTTATAACTGTCAGAAGATTCTAATACTATTAATATCCTACATAACTATAACAAAATATGAATCGAATAAAGTTATGTTCAACGTGTACTATTTTTAATATAAGCCTTACATAATAATTGCCGGACTGTATTCACGACGAAACTCAATTTCGAAATGCTTCTTTCGAGATCATACATGATTTATATATTCATATAAATATCTACATTGAACGATTAAGATAGTAATAGTATCGAAACCATTTTTTTAATTTTAATATTTTCTTTTCTTCATATTTCTCGGGAGTATTTCTAATGACTCAAATAAGTGCAAATACATGTTAGATTAGTACTTAAATGTCATCACCACGTGGTGTGAGCCTACAAAAATGCATTTTGCATATTTTTAAAATAGAATTAATGGTTTTTCTTAGCAATCAGCAATGTTTAGCTGCATTGTTAATATTGTTGAAAATATGGATTAGTATTAATGAACTGGCAGTATTATATCTATTCACAAACACATTATGTTTTGACGCGGTTTGCGCATCGGTATATTAAAAAACTATTTATAATCGCACAGTGTATTTGAACAAATATGCCCTAAATTTGATACCATCACACTTATGGAGTCGTATCTTTCCTGCTGATTCATACCCGCAAGTGCAGGCTGCACGTTCACGGTCGCCCCGCGGGCATAGTTGCCCGTGAGTGATTTCCCGTATATTTTCATTACAACTTCGTAAAATAATCAAGAAACATTATGTCGTCGAAAATTTGGGTCTGGAAGAAAGTTCCTGGTGCTGTCGGTCGATGTAACGATGTAATTTATTCACGTCCGAAATTGCCACCAAGTCAGGATCTTCTTTTATATTTTGGAGGCGATGTTCAAGTACATTTAAATAATGTTCATAGTTCACGATAGTAATTTTTAAACGAGATGTTATGTATTGTACAATATAATTTCTTTCTAGGACATTCAGGAGAATATGGCACAACATTCAGATAGTAAAAAATATATAGAATGGAACTTACAAAATACTGCTCATATACTTTCAACAAACTTTCCCAAAAAACATATTCTTATCATTCGTCCATCAAGGTGGTATTTGTAAAATAATGTTTTACACGTTGACTGTCACTCTGAAGTGTTGAAAGTTTCATTACGTAGTATTTTTATTTTTGATAATCTTATCTGTTATTTTAACAGTATTTTGTTAGTTATATTATCCATTATTTCAAGCATAAATATCTTTAATAAGGTAAGCAAAAGAATTTCTAGTAATTGATGGACTCCCACAAAAGTTCAAGCATTCCAATATATATGGCAGTCAACATGTTTGACAAAATGTTTTATATACTTTTAGCATTATCATTCTCAATTTTGTTTTAGAATGTATGTAACAATGAATGTTATGTTCAGCTGTTTTGATAACTTTGTACCAGGGAATGAATATGGTATTCCATTGTATCGCCCGTCACATAACGGTTTAAAACATTTACAAGAATTAGTAAAGTCATGTTTAGATCATATTAAAACGTGCAGTGTGAATGAGGTGTGTTTAAAACCTAATTCTTTACATGCAATCTCAAGGATTTAGTTTTAATAGAAACAAATATTTCAATTTTTAGGATCCCTCTCTTTTCAATATTGGAAGTATAAAATTAATGTTAATGGGTTTTAGTAAAGGCTGTGTTGTTTTAAATCAATTTCTCCATGAATTTCACTATTACCAAAGTAAATCAAAACCTGTTGTTGAGATCAATAATTTTATTAAACTTATTGAAAGCATGTGGTGGTTAGATGGTGGACATGCAGGATCTAAGGATACATGGATCACAGACAAATCCATTCTGGAATCATTTGCAAAATTAAGTAATATAGTAATAACAAATTGTTCTTAATCTTTTAATATTGCATTATATTTAAAAACTGATGTATTATTATAGGAATAGATGTTCATGTACATGTCACACCATATCAAGTTCATGATTCTAGTCGTCCATGGAATGGCGAAGAGGAAAACCGATTTTGTACGACTTTAAAGACTATAGGAGTTCCCATAAAACGCGAATTACATTTTGCAGATAAACCAAAAAGTTTGCTCCTTCATTTTAATGTTCTCAAAGCTGTTAGAAATTTCACACAGTAACATTGTGATATGTGCTTTTTTATGTTGTTTCAATAAAAAATATTTGCACAATAAGTTAATGATATTAACACATCTATTGAATTTTATTGAATGGTTAAATAATTATATATCAAAAAAGTTAATAAAAAATTTGTAGTTAATTATGGTCTGATATATATCTACTATTTGTACCTCCTTTTTTCCTAGATAGTTAATTCCCAAAATTAATTATAGAAGATAATCAAATATCTGCTTCTGTGGTTCTTATATAAATGATTACTGTAATTCAAATTTATTTGTAAAAATGTTAATGATCTTAAATCTTATTTTCTACTAACATGTTACATGAAGAAAAACTCTGAAGTACAATTTATTATATAATTTTTGATATGTTAGACATATAACGACATTTTATGTTTAATAACTTAAAGAATAATTATATGCTTATAAAATCTTTATGAAAATAAATGATTGAAACTTTTAAAATTCATGTAACACAACTAGTAGGAAATCTACACAAAATAAACATTTTATTTGCACAATAAATATGTTTAACCTTTCAATAATATGGTACTAGCATCTATTTGGACATTTTTTCTTATCATACGTTATGTTCCCAGATTCTAGAACAAATTATTATTATTAGTAAACATAAGAAAATCAATACAACTATACTGTTTTACTAATAAAGTTATTTACCATTTTTAAAGTGAGGTAATGTGACTATAGCCCATTCATCAGATCCATCGCAACAATCACAATACCCATCATTAACTTTGTAAGATGCTATTTTCGCTACAATGTAATTAAAATCATTAAAAATATTACTTTTAAAAGATCTTGTATAAAATAAAATATAAAATAAGCAATACCTGGAAAATGTGAGGATGAAATTTCACAATAAAACACACCATTATTACATGCATTGGTACCAGGTTCATCGCTACCATCCAAAGGACAGTCACAATAATTGTCATTAATTTTAAAATAGTCTATGTTATCTTTTGAAGCAAAACACACAAATTCCCCTTGCATGTTTGGCAAATATTTTGAAATATCCTGATCACGTGTCCCACGCAAGGATACACTTCTACCATTCTTATCACGCAGAAGTTTAGAATGTGACAATTCGTTCCATTTTGACTGTACTTTACCAGTGATAAGGTAATCAGATGTTCGTACTGATCCACTAATTAATTTTCCTACAATCGCTTGATTAAGTTCTTTAAAGTAAACTAACTGATGAATAACAAAAATAATAGCTGCTATGAAAACACAGATCAATGTATATTTTAATTTTTTTCGCAAAAAGCGTCGTTTCCAAGATATTTCCGTTTTCATACTTGCCGGTTCAACAATCGCTTAATATTCTTTAACAGCTGAAAGCGATATTGTTTTATCATGTATTATCAATTTTTTGGTTCAGTACTTGTTTCTGTATAAGAAACATATCTTAAATATATCTGATAATGATACTGTACATAAAATATACATTTTTTATTTTAATCAAAGGTCACATCACGTTTTATTTACAAACAGTACATAAATATCGCAGTTCACTTTGAACACAGTCAAAATTACATTGCGGACAGAAAGGTTCTAAGTTAAATGAAGTTATCTGCTGTTTATCGATATTCGTGGTAATCGAAAAGGTAGTTTGAACTGTCATTTTTTTTTACTGCAGATACTTTATAAATGCTAATTTTTTATTTTTCTTTACTATCTATTTTATACTGAAAGCAAAAACTCATTTTCCTTAATATTAAAGATGTGTAAGATCCCCGTAGACAGGGATATCTATGGGGATCTCACAATTTCGAGATCGAAATCGAGACAAATCGAAAAATTGCGGGCGAGATCTCGATACTTTTATATTCCGATTATAAGAATAAGCGCGAAATCGCGCAATAAAAATGGCTATGAATCAGCCATTTTTTACCAAAGTTTTGATAGAAGAAATTATAGTAAATGAATGGTAACTACTATTGTTAAAATGTAATTATTTTAATTTTCAATCAAGCATATAAATTAATTTCATTTGTTTAATACTACATTTCATTTTTAAATCGATTTATCTTGTAACTATAAATGCAAAAATATCTAACTTTACGTACAAAACAAACTGATGTACAGTTTCACAGATTTTAAAGACAAAATATGAAAATACTCGAGGAAAAAGATAACAAGATCTATTTCATGGTAAATTACAATATAGAAAAGCAATATGCAGAAATTGTCACGTAATACAAATAGTTCGTAATAGTATAAACAGGTTGTTACAATACGTCAGTGCATATGTATTATTAGTGTTTAATTTATAAGGTTCTTGTTCCTTTTCAAGCCAAGAAAGCAATTATTACATCGGTCTTCTCATGCCACGCATAGGTGCCTGAGGACCATTATCCTGACCACTCTTAGGATTCTTTATGGTTTCATCAACAGACAAAATGAGACATGCTGCCTCAGTCGCGGCAGTTAAAGCATTAATTTTGACAACAGCTGGTTCCCAAACGAAAGCTGACATGTTGTCGCCGATGTCTTCAGTATTAATGTCAACACCGTAAGTATGCATGCCTTTATGCTGTTTCTGTCGCAATTTGTTTAAAATACTCGTTGCATCGAAACCAGCATTATCACACAATTGCCTGCAAATAATATAATTACATTTTCCATAAATCTGGTATCACATGCAACAAAAAAGGAATTAAGATATCCACCTTGGAATAACTTCCAATGCACGAGCTATTGCTCCAATTAAAAGTTGCTCTTTTCCAGCTATAATACGAGAATAATCTCTCAATGTCTTTGATAATTCCATTTCAATAGCTCCTCCACCAGCCACGTATGCATTAGTTTTAAACAAACGTCTTACAACCATGATGGCATCATGCAAAGACCTCTCTGTTTCTTCCAAAAATTGTTCCGCTCCTCCACGCAATATAAACGTACACGTCTTAGCACGTGATCCTTCATAGAAGAAATTGAATCTAGACACAAATATGTTGATGTAATATTTGACAATAAAATATTTAAGCTATATCAATTGATTAAATACCTTTCTCCACCAATTTGCTTTTCTTCAAACATTTCACACCTGCCAAGATCGGACTCCTTAATATCATGCACTGTAGTTAAAATACATCCTCCACAAGCTTTCATCGTTCTCTTCAAATCTTCCTCAGGAACTCTGCCCGCACAGAACATGTCCCGGTCGGCGAAATACTGAGTGGCAACATCGCCAATAGGTAACTTTGACAGAACAACCTGTGCTCCGCTCTTGTGAATTTTATCGAGTTTATTGTACAAAATTTGCCATTCGGCATCAACTATCTTTTGATATTCCGCAACGTTATCTACGCGAACTTCGGCATTATCTCTTTCTGCTTTAAGCTCCAACTCTATATTTAACAGGGCAATTTTACAATCTTGATATTTCTTAGGTTGCATTTCAAAGCCGGCATAGGAGAAGGTTTTTTTAAAAGCTACTCCTTTAACCAGTTCTGAATCTTCCAATGCTCCTCCAGAGACCTGCAATTATTAAGTACAATGATAAATTTATGATATTTACAGCTATAAATGTTAATTTAAATCAGCTTACCTTTTTAATACCAATCATGTTAAGAGGTAACAACTCATCAAGCATCATAACAGCTTTTACAACCATGCGACTAAAGAATTCTTTTTGTTGATGAATTAATTTTGAACTCATAGATGTAGCTGCACACTCTTCTAAAAGTTCTACTAGTTTTGTTTGATCGGATTTGTCTATTTTTACACTCACTGCATTTATTTTGTCAACTGCTACTTGAAGGGCAATACGAAGAGCTTTGATCATAATACGTGGATGAACACCTTCTTCAATAAATGATTTCATTTGTTTCAAAAATTCTCCTGCTAATAAAACTACGCTTGTTGTACCATCACCAACCTATAGTGAAAAATAGAAAGTCAAAGCATTTATATAGAAATATTCAATAATATGTTTGAACATTATTGAGGCAACTGCATATCTTCAGGAAGTTACCAGTCTACGAGTTCTTAAATATACTATTCTCTGTAGCTAACTAGTAAATGTTGCATTTGACACATTACTATTTTATCTTCCTACAGAGTTCATTCTTTTCATAGTAACACTTACTTCAGCATCCTGAGATTTAGCAATGTCTACTAAAGTTTTAGCTGCAGGATGTACTACTTCTAAAAGTCTTAAAATAGTTGCGCCATCATTTGAAATAGTGGCTTTTCCATTTTGACCAACAATCAATTTATCCATCCCTCTAGGACCTAACGTAGTCCTCACCGCATCTACCACTATTTGACAAGCATTTATATTCGATATAAGCTGTTGCTTTCCCTGTGATGCATCTGTGCCTTCTTTGAGTAAAATTATTTGAGGTTGCTGGAAGAAACATTTATAAATAATTTTATATATTTGTTATTAATAATAAAACAATGATCATGATAACAATTATGTACTCTCATGTATTTCCCCATTTTTTATATTCAAATGTACATGTGACTTTTACTGTAAAATGGCGATTCAAAGTTTTCTGTTACTATCCTGTCAAATTTCAAAAGACAGATGAATTAAGAATTTGCTTCTATTTTTTTGTTTCGTTACTATGCAAGGTTTTGATTCGCTCATGAAATTAATCAGTTTACATAAATTTCTGGAAAGGTAAGTATTTTATTCCATTCATTATTAATGTCGTTTCCACATGCACGTTATGGAAGTAAGCCGAAATTATCCTTATAAGGTTAGAGCAACCGAACCTATATGATGTTCGTTCTTCCGCGAAATAACTTACAAGTGTCTCTTAAAATGTTGATAACAGTTAAGTATACTAATTTTTAACGATTAAAATGGTCAACATAAATTACATTTTCATTTTTAATTTATTTTGAGCAAGAAGCGGTCGGTATTAAAATTCTGTACATTGTATTCACATTCTTGTTAAGAAAATGAAGATTTCGTGTTCCTTTATGTGTAAAATAAAAATTCTCGTTTCCGGCTTACCATTTTTATAACTTATTATTTGATTAATTGTTTCTTTTTAACTCGACACACCGTTCAAGCACTGGTACTTTGTTAACCTGTAAATTGCGATTCGAGATGATTCTACTAAAGACATAAGCGCCGAACAGTGTTGGGCAGTCGTGAGATTTTCTCACGCGAGAGCTTTATGCGCATGCGTCAGCGACGTCACAGCTTGCTGTCAGTGCCGTACCTAGCCGGTACACGCAGTGGTGACTGATGATCCTACATAATTTTTCAAAAATTCTTATAATTGCACTGCAAACTATGAATGTATAGATTGGGTTAGATTACATTAGGCTGGGTTAGGTTAGTCATATATATGACTGTATAAAACTATACAACTATATATACATATATTATAAGTAAAATTGCAATCGTAGCTCTTAAATTCTAAATTCTAATTTTCAATTAAATTCTAATCGTAGCTCTTAGCTCGGTATAGTTCTCTGAAGATTTTTTAAAGCCTTCAGAGAACTATACCAATTACCAGGTCACACCACGTGGAGGTGGCTACGATAGTGACCCACCCTAACTCCAAATCCCATCCACCCTCC